CCGGGGTGGGCGGCGGGCTGGCAAGAAAGCTGGAAAGTGCGGCAGCTCGCCGGAAGGCAGCGGACCACGCGGTCTATTCAACCAGTGGCGGCGGTGCCAATATAGCCGGATGTTGACCCGGGCTCGATGGAATCACGGCTACGGTGACTCGGTGACCAATCTCTTCCGCGGAGCTGACGTATTCTATAGGAGAAATACCGTCCGAATCTCTTCGGAATAATACTAACGTTGCGATCGTTCGTTTCGATAATGTTACACGCTCGAATAAGTTTCTCTCGTCTAGGTCGAGGTGTCGACTAATTGTACCGGTACAGTGGAACCACGATCGTCCAACCTAAGTACAGTAATGTCTCTCTAATCGACGCTCAGATTCTCCACAAAAATAGACAATTTTGGAAGAGGAGATACGATTGTTGTTCGAGTCTTGCGGTTCATTTTTATAGTCACGAATTGTCGACAACTATTAAAACGAGCTGCAACGCTCGAACAATCGTATCTCCTCTTCCCAAATTGTCCATTTTTGTGGACAGTCTGTGCGTCAATTAGAGAGACATTACTGTATATCTCTCTGTTCAATTTACATTTAAGGCAATTTAATTATAGAATTTTTATTTTTTTGGAGAATCTGAGCGTCAATTAGAGAGACATTGCTGTACAATAATGTCTCCCTAACTGACGCTCAGATTCTCCACAAAAATAGACAATTTTGGAAGAGGAGATACGATTGTTGTTCGAGTCTTGCGGTTCATTTTTATAGTCACGAATTGTCGACAACTATTAAAACGAGCTGCAACGCTCGAACAATCGTATCTCCTCTTCCCAAATTGTCCATTTTTGTGGACAATCTGTGCGCCTATTAGGGAGACATTACTGTATATCTCTCTGTTCAATTTACATTTAAGGCAATTTAATTATAGAATTTTTATTTTTTTGGAGAATCTGAGCGTCAATTAGAGAGACATTGCTGTACAATAATGTCTCCCTAACTGACGCTCAGATTCTCCACAAAAATAGACAATTTTGGAAGAGGAGATACGATTGTTGTTCGAGTCTTGCGGTTCATTTTTATAGTCACGAATTGTCGACAACTATTAAAACGAGCTGCAACGCTCGAACAATCGTATCTCCTCTTCCCAAATTGTCCATTTTTGTGGACAATCTGTGCGCCTATTAGGGAGACATTACTGTATATCTCTCTGTTCAATTTACATTTAAGGCAATTTAATTATAGAATTTTTATTTTTTTGGAGAATCTGAGCGTCAATTAGAGAGACATTGCTGTACAATAATGTCTCCCTAACTGACGCTCAGATTCTCCACAAAAATAGACAATTTTGGAAGAGGAGATACGATTGTTGTTCGAGTCTTGCGGTTCATTTTTATAGTCACGAATTGTCGACAACTATTAAAACGAGCTGCAACGCTCGAACAATCGTATCTCCTCTTCCCAAATTGTCCATTTTTGTGGACAATCTGTGCGCCTATTAGGGAGACATTACTGTATATCTCTCTGTTCAATTTACATTTAAGGCAATTTAATTATAGAATTTTTATTTTTTTGGAGAATCTGAGCGTCAATTAGAGAGACATGACTGTACAATAATGTCTCTCTAATCGACGCTCAGATTCTCCATAAAAATAGACAATTTTGGAAGAGGAGATACAATTGTTGTTCGAGTCTTGCGGTTCATTTTTATAGTCACGAATTGTCGACAACTATTAAAACGAGCTGCAACGCTCGAACAATCGTATCTCCTCTTCCCAAATTGTCCATTTTTGTGGACAATCTGTGCGCCTATTAGGGAGACATTACTGTATATCTCTCTGTTCAATTTACATTTAAGGCAATTTAATTATAGAATTTTTATTTTTTTGGAGAATCTGAGCGTCAATTAGAGAGACATGACTGTACAATAATGTCTCTCTAATCGACGCTCAGATTCTCCATAAAAATAGACAATTTTGGAAGAGGAGATACAATTGTTGTTCGAGTCTTGCGGTTCATTTTTATAGTCACGAATTGTCGACAACTATTAAAACGAGCTGCAACGCTCGAACAATCGTATCTCCTCTTCCCAAATTGTCCATTTTTGTGGACAATCTGTGCGCCTATTAGGGAGATATTACTGTATATCTCTCTGTTCAATTTACATTTAAGGCAATTTAATTATAGAATTTTTATTTTTTTGGAGAATCTGAGCGTCAATTAGAGAGACATTGCTGTACAATAATGTCTCCCTAACTGACGCTCAGATTCTCCACAAAAATAGACAATTTTGGAAGAAGAGATGCGATCGTTCGAGTCCTGTGGCTCGTTTATTATGATTATCGATTGTCAACAACTATAAAAACGAGCTGCGAGGCTCGAACAATCGTATCTCCTCTTTCCAAATTGCCCATTTTTCTGCATTAGGGAGACATTATGTAGAACGACATAAATGCTATAAGCATAGTAGCAGATTTCATCTTTACGTGTGAAACGTGTTTGGACAACGATCAGTCGATCGAAGGTCCACCGTATGTCATTTGGAACAGCGAACCACGTATCTGACAGAACTATAACGCAGCTATGAGACTTTGGATACGACATCTGAACCGACAATAAATAACAAGCGTTTCCTCCGCGTTGAAAATATCGAATTGCGTGCCGATAAAACAGCATTCGCGAGAGGTACGCCCTCGTCGCTTAATTTGAACACCTTGGCTGCCGTGTCACCCATATAAGGGCGACGCGATTGATTGTCTCGATTCAAGAGCAAACGTTTGCGCTAATATGTTCGGCGCACGAAATTCGGTTGGGGCCCGCGAAACGAAAAAAGGCGTGTGTGAGTGTTATGTACCATGCATCTTGGTCTTCCAATTTTTATTTTATCATGTAAATAAATTTCTTTGATTTTAGAGAATTCTATAAGCTGCAGGATCGACGGACAAGCGTCGAAGAAAAGTACAGAGATCATCGTTCACCCCTAAGTGTTTACGGCGACAATAGCCCATTTAACAGGCGTCGTAGATTGTTTCCAACTATTTAAAAAATAACGATTTCGACGTATTAACCCTTTGCACTCGAAGCCATTTTAACTGTAAATCTAAATTCATTTTTCTAACTTATGGTATTTTCGTTTTATATGACAAAGCGCATTTTGTGCATACGAAATTTATAGTCTTGCTATTCGTACGACAGTTAGACTTTTAACCATTTTTTACGTCTAGACTTTTACAATATAAGAATTATCTTGGAACACGATGTAACAATCTTAACGGTGCCTCAGAGTCACCACTCGAGTGCAAAGGGTTACATTTTACAGTTTCGATCACGCTCGCGTGTTCCCGGTCACCGTCGTTGATCGACTCTTATACTGTCGGATGGTACAACAGTTCCTTGGCAACTCCACTCTTCTGTTATATCTTACGGGTTGTTCATTTTATCGACGCAGGACAGTTTTGATAGGCGAAAGATTGCGTTACCCACATTTACATAAGCGACGGGAACGCGTCAATAACTATTCATCGACCAACGAACGCCAAGCGAGACCCCCGCGTCGCTGCTCGGAGCGATAACCTGGACAGGATGTTAACAAATCCTCGAGGTTCGAGGGTGGCACCTGAAACTCGTAGCCGGGATGTTCTATGTGTCTTGTCATTAACAGCGCTGATTGCGTCGAGCTACTGACCGAAGTTCGACACTCTTCCGGTATCACAAGCAGTTCGACACTGCGGTGTCGAATGTTTAGAAATCGGATGCGTTCCGACACTCGAAGTGTATACAGAGTGTCCCAAAAATGTCTCGTAATCCGGAAGCGGTGGGTTCCTGAGGTGATTCGAAGGAACTTTTTCCTCAGCGAAAATGCAATCCGCGGCTTCGTTTACGAGTTATTAACGAAAAACGGCGACCAATGAGAGGCGAGCTCGCGCAAGGCGGCCGAGCCAATCAGCGCAACTGGACTCCGTCCGCTCGTTGGCTGAGCCGCCTCGCGCCAGTCAAGCACGCCTCTCATTGGTCACCGTTTTTCGTTATTAACTCGTAAACGAAGCCGTGGAGAAAATTTTCGCAAAGGAAAAGGTTCCTTCAAATGACCTCAGGAACCTCCCATTTCCGGATTGCGAGATATTTTCGGGACACCCTGTATAATGACTTCACGAACCCCTGATTTCCCGAAAGTATCATAATTCTGGGACACTTTATAAAACGTAAACAATGCTTGTCGTCGATTGCTTGTTTGAAGTAGTATTAGTATTAGTATTAGTATTAGTATTAGTATTAGTATCAGATTCAAGAATCAGCTAGATTCGAAACACGACGACCATGTTTGAAGCGATTCGAAACTCCGAATAAATATTCTCAAAAAATGGTAAAACGTTGCCGCTGCAGTACCGGCCGGCAGCAATAACCGAGTTGATTTTCGGGAATACTATCGGCCGGCACTCGGAAGCCTTCGAATGGTCCATGCTCTCTTGCTTGGAGAGCGCCGATGTATTTGATCGAGGCGTCGGACGACGATAGGCCGAGTCGAGGAGAGGGACGCGCGACCTAAAATACGCTGCGCGATGGAAGACTGTTCGTGGGGAGTTGGAAGAGTGACGAAGGGGGGGGGGCGGAGGGATACGGCGGGTGACTGCGGGGGGTGGAAGGGACGCAGCCGACGGGCGGAAGGAGGGTGTACACGCGGTAGCAGCCACCACGTCGTATACCAACGCCACTCCATATTGATTTTCCGGGAGAGGGGACGGACGCCGGGCGAAGGGAGGGAGAGAGACAGGGGTGCGATAGGGGCGAACGGCGAACAGAGAGGCACGGTGAAAGCGAAGAAGGAAAGATACGGCCGGAGGAAGGGAGAAAGTTAAGTAAAAGTGGAGCTGGAGCACGATGCCGGAGAGAGATAGAGACGGGCGGAGAGAAAGAAAGAGTGACAGCGAGAGAGAATAAGTGGGGGGAGGGGGGGCTAGGGTTTACTCGGAGGAACCGAGAGGGATGGCACGCGTACTAGGGTGGGTTTAGTCGCTTCCTCGCCGTTAACCCGCGCGACTGACCCCTGAAGTAAAGTTCGTCGAAGATGGCGGTTTCAGCAGAGGGTGTAAATACTTCTGGCCTGCGGGATGTAACGCGCAGCGATTGAACCATTAGGCACACGCGCAAGATGACGAATCGCGTATCTGTATACGAATTACGAATTTCCTGTCTCGATCGCAACGAGCTCCAACGAATGGAGAATTTACTCGTTATTCTATACCTTTCTGCTAAATACGAATGCTATTAATTTCTCTTCACTCGAGGTACAATGTTACTCCTCTGTAATATTAATGGAAACGGTAGACACGTAAGAAAACTAATCTTCTTCGGTTTCACTTGGAAATTCTTTTAGGACGAAGATGCTATAGTCACTGTAGCTTCGAATAAAAATAATACGGGAAGAGAATTATACTCTAAACTGTTTTATGATACGATTTCGTCTTCGATAAACTGGTGCGTATTTTTTCTTATCATAGTAAGCTTCGTCGAATATAAACACTGCGTCACATTTTTGTTCCAGAATGTTATATTTTTTAGCGAAACCCAACCTATCGATATTTATTCGATTGGTGCTTTTGTTGGTTTCAATTATGACTACAGAACGATCGCGATAAAATACGATTGTTGCTACTGGTAATATCGGTTCCGCCACTATTATCCCGTCATAAAATGTAAGGGCATTATTTTTTCGCGTGTAGCATTAACAATGCAGTTTGCGGTTTTATTATATGGTAAAGCGTTAAAGGAAATCTTGATTTTGCAAAATGTATATTTAAAACGTCCAGTGTGGACCCAGATGAAAATGTTATGAAACAGCAACCTTTAGTTATTTCACCGTGAAGCTGGGCCAAATATTTATCTTTAATAAAAATTTGTTGTTCGCGACACAAATTGCCCCATCGAAGCAAACAATTTCCAGCTTCAAATGTTTTTGCATCTATAAGAGAACGATAGAGTAATTTAATTGACAACGGCGAAACTGAAAAGATAAAATGTAGTCCAAAAAACCAAGTGAAATTTAGTTCGATCGAATATATCGGAATCAAAATGATTTTCAAAATCTAGTAAAAATATTGTGTCAGTTCCAAGTGACTTAGAATTAAAGAAAAGTCTTCTTCGTCTACTAAAAGCTTATTAATTGGCAAAAGAGAAGAAAAATGTCTTTAAAATAGATCTTGTTAATTTATACGTTCTCTTGCATCTTAGAAATCTGCGCGCACCATAAATGGGAGATCCGCGGTTTAGTAATCAGCCCAATCTAAGGCAACGCATAATCAAAACGATCTACCGTACAAATCGATGAAGACAGTATCTAACAATATAACCAAGTAGCCGTTCTATTACACGAACGTTCGTGTCGATCGTTCGTGCAACCAATTTTAATTGTTCCATTAAAATTGTATTTAGATACTAATTCGAAAACTGTATGAAATGCCACTGAATTCTTCGTTGCAGAGCATTACGGCGACATCGAATGTTAGTCAATGTATCGCGAACGATGCAATTGTCTCTGTATAGCTCGTGTTCCCATAAACCGTCGCGATTATTCATTACAAAGCGGAGAGAGACCTAACTGCCGCGTGCGAGCGCGCCGTCGACCGTGGCGTACACAACTCTTCTCCTTTCCGCATCAAATAACCATTGACAAGCTGTTCTTAGCGATGCAAATGATAGATTACAGTTGACGCGATCGATAGCTGTTCCTCGTACAAATTGAATCTCGCAATGTCGCGCTACAGTTTAATTAAACCGGTGCTTGTTATAACTTCCGCAGGGACACGGTCTGATCGCGCGTGAAATCACGCTCGATTAAACTTACACGGAATATTTCGTGGATGATGATTACCTCGCTGGGAAAACTGGAAAGTTTCGGAACAACGATGCACTCGAACCAGTTTCCGCCGATAACGAGCTTGTTTCAATGAAATAACGGATCACCTTGCCGTCTGACTCCTCGACGTAGATGCACGCGCGTAGCATTGCATTGCGGCCGATTTTGTCGGCCCCTACTTTTTCTAATCTTCGGGTCGGAGTTCCATCTCTTTTGTTCGTCGCGGTAAATTCTGTCTCGTTATTTCGCGAAAGCTGTCTTCATTTATATCATATTGAGTCAAACCAACGGAGGATGGTAAAACTCTTTTCTTCTAAAAACAAAAGTATTTATTCTTTTATTTTCCTCGTAATAATGACAGCGGTATCATCCTCGTTCGTATTAAAATCAAGCAAAGCAACAAAAGAAAATCAGTTCGCGAATATCTGCAATGTTTCTCTCTCACAATGAAATGTTCGGTTTTCGAGAGCCTTGGTTCGTTAAAAATCGCTAACGATATCCAAGAAAGTGTCAAGGACTGACAAAAACAGGAATCTGTGGTTTCCGATGAATCTACAATCCTCTTCAGTTTTGGGTTACATCGCCGTATCGGATGAAACATCGAGAACTATTCTACGTTACGTCGTTAGTTTGTTAGAAGACGATCTCCTGTTGCGCGCAACATTGCCGTAACTTGAGATTACAGCAGCTTTTTCCGGAAATGCTACATTTCGGGTTGCTGTGAATTTCCCTGTGCTAATTTATTGCTACGTCGAAGCTGAGATTCGACGGAGTCAGTCGAGCGTGCGATGCGTCACGCGACGCAGTTCCTTTGACTCGAGTTCCCGGAAGACATCACGAAATGGTTTGTTTGGGTGTGAGTTAGGTAAATAAAACCGCGGAGCTACAAGATACGTTACCAATCGCAACGACCGTTGATGGTTAAACTCTCTGTCCAATCGAGACATGTGACCTCCGAAATGCCTTCGAATAGTGGCATGAGGTCTCCGAATAGCATTTGAACCATGTCATGTGGCCTCCGAATTGTTTTCGAATAGTGCCATATGGTTTCCGAATTGCCTTCAAATCGTGGCATGTGGTCTCTGTATTGTCTTTGAATAGTGGCACGTGGCCTCCGAATTGCCTTCGAATCGTAGCTTGTAGCCTCCGAATTGCCTTCGAATAGTGGGACGTGGCCTCCGAATTGCCATCGAATCGTGGCTTGTAGCCTCCGAATTGCCTTCGAATAGTGGCACGTGGCCTCCGAATTGCCTTCGAATAGTGGCATGAGGTCTCCGAATAGCATTTGAACCATGTCATGTGGCCTCCGAATTGTTTTCGAATAGTGCCATATGGTTTCCGAATTGCCTTCAAATCGTGGCATGTGGTCTCTGTATTGTCTTTGAATAGTGGCACGTGGCCTCCGAATTGCCTTCGAATCGTAGCTTGTAGCCTCCGAATTGCCTTCGAATAGTGGGACGTGGCCTCCGAATTGCCATCGAATCGTGGCTTGTAGCCTCCGAATTGCCTTCGAATAGTGGCACGTGGCCTCCGAATTGCCTTCGAATAGTGGCATGAGGTCTCCGAATAGCATTTGAACCATGTCATGTGGCCTCCGAATTGTTTTCGAATAGTGCCATATGGTTTCCGAATTGCCTTCAAATCGTGGCATGTGGTCTCTGTATTGTCTTTGAATAGTGGCACGTGGCCTCCGAATTGCCTTCGAATCGTAGCTTGTAGCCTCCGAATTGCCTTCGAATAGTGGGACGTGGCCTCCGAATTGCCTTCGAATCGTGGCTTGTAGCCTCCGAATTGCCTTCGAATAGTGGCACGTGGCCTCCGAATTGCCTTCGAATAGTGGCATGAGGTCTCCGAATAGCATTTGAACCATGTCATGTGGCCTCCGAATTGTTTTCGAATAATGCCATATGGTTTCCGAATTGCCATCAAATCGTGGCATGTGGTCTCTGTATTGTCTTTGAATAGTGGCTTGTAGCCTCCGAATTGCCTTCGAATCGTGGCTTGTAGCCTCCGAATTGCCTTCGAATCGTGGCATGTAGCCTCCGAATTGCCTTCGAATAGTGGCTTGTAGCCTCCGAATTGCCTTCGAATCGTGGCTTGTAGCCTCCGAATTGCCTTCGAATAGTTGCACATGGCCTCCGAATTGCCTTCGAATCATGGCTTGTAACCTCCGAATTGCCATCGAATAGTGGCAGGTGGCCTCCAAATTGCCTTCGAATCGCAGCAAAAAATTAGAATTAAAAAAGTTAAGTCATCATTTTTATTCCAGCATTACTACGTATTCATATTAATGTACACCGGCATGCTAGCCGTCGCCTATTTTGCCGGCTGCCCCGAGTTTCTATAAAAACGAACCGCGAGGCTCGAAGAATCGTGTCCGAGTGTCTGGCGATTACCGTTTTCAATTCCGAGCTCCGAGCTCCAATTTACTGTACTATGTTTAAGAATATGTGTCCACGTGCTCGAACTCATTTTTAATCAACAGTACCTTGCGAAATAAATTGAATCGACGTGTCGCGTAATCTTTCGAGTTTGCTTAATTTTACGAAAACCAAAGAAATATTTCGAATGTTATGCTTATGTCCCAACAATGCACTGTTGTCATTTGTACTCTGGAATGATCGTCGTAGAAATGAGAGCTGGCGCAATCTACAACGAAATTTATCAACATGTTGTAAACTTTTCAAACAGTCATCCGTGATCGATGAGAGTAGTTAGCATAGAATCTGCAGCGTGATTAATGCAGACCATAGATAATGGTCCTTGCGTAGAGGACGAATGCATTTTACGCCGCGGCGCCGTTGCATACGTCGCGGCGGAAACGCCGTTAGCTACATTGTTCGACCAACAGTTTCCTTTGTTATTAAAAAAGAAAAGGTAATCCCACTCGGGTCGTAACAAACAAGTTCGCGTTCTAATTACCTTTCGCGCGAAGCCGCGACCACTATTTTTATTCTAATTACAGGAACGCCCATTCTGATAGCTTCCCACGCCATTACGTGGAAATTTACGCATCGGGTTTACCCTAACGGTAAACGGGGACACGGAAAAGAGAAAATAGTACTGTGTTCTCGGAGAACAAAGCGTGTAATTAGATCGAAGTTCCTGAAAGGGGTACTTTAACACTTTCTCCGACGGAACAAATTAAAACGATACCTGCTTCCCTAATTTTATGCAACAGAGTAGCCAGTTGCTGTTGGAAAATTGCCAGAAACTTGCTCTGCTTTCGCATCAACTAAAAGGACTGTGAAATATATGAATTTAACATTTTTCGTGAAAATTTATAATCGTTGACGTTTATTGTTTCATTAGTTTTTTGGATACGTTGATTCGTAGAATATGCTGGTGGATATATCGACGATGATCGTTCATGCTGTTCAGATGCAGTCGCTACGTAAATGCACATAAACATTAAAAATGCGCATAAATTGAGTACGTTTCATCATGAATAATAACAGAGTCAGAGCTGTATTTGATTTTACTTTTTAATTAAACAAGAGGATTAAATCGAATATGTATGGCGTACATTTTGCGAATCTAATCGGAAGAAACACGTGTGTCGTAAACTTGCACCTTAAGTTTTCTTTAATTATAATCATTCTGACACTTTCGCTCGCCCATCAAAGATACAAGTTAACACGTTATCTGCCATACCAGTGTTCAGAAAAGCCATATAAAATTGGAACAGCGTGTTTATCAATATAAGAGCAGAGAAGACACGATTTATCGTAGCAATTGCTTTTACGGCCGTTTTATACCTCGCGGATCCCAACAAAGTTTGGCTTCCTTAATAGATAGAGCATAACGCTGTCTATAAGACCGGTCTACTGCTCATCGAAGCACAAAATTAACGTTATATACATATTTATTGATGCTTTAAACCAGAGAAATCGTTCGAGTTCGAACGCTTGATTGGCGATTTTATATTTAACACTGCTTGTCAGAGCAGAGCAAAATTTAACATCAAATCTTTGCACGGATAACAAGACAAAATTTATTTAAACTTCTCGCCATTTTTATCACAATGCACGCACAATTTAAGAAATTTATTTAATCATGATCCAAGGAAGTGTCTGTAATTCCGACAAAACAGGAAAATAGAAAATCTGAAACCGCTCGTTTCGATCGTCGCACAGTAGGTTCAGTGTTAAACACCTAAATCCTGTCACACGTCAACGCCAAAATCGTCAGAACGAACAAATAACGCTTTTCAAAGGCTTTCCCTTTGCTTTCCTTCATCATCGAAAATCATTCATGATTTCTTCAACCGCTTGAGTCCCAGTGGTTATTCAGAAAACACGGTCGAAAAGTGGCGAACAGCATGATAGCGCTCGTCTTAATTGATTGCGAAGAGAACCAAGCGGTGCGATAGCGCTCGTCAAGATTGATAAACAAAACAAAGAGAAAAAAAATGAAAAAAGCAGCTATGCGATGTACGTGCGTCACTAAAGTTTGATCGCGATAGAAGATCTGAACAGCGCGATCGCGCTGCTCGAGACTCGAACGGTTAAACAATTTTCCCCTAACATTTCCAAACCGTGCAATGCCAAAACCTAGCATTGTTAACCCATTTGCATCATATGGAAATATGAAAAAAGGCCCATATCACCGAAAAACTTTTATTTCATATTTAGGTGTAAAATTGTATAAAGGTAAAAAGAAATCATTTTTCAGCATTATTTGTTAGAAATTTTGTTCAGTGTGGTAATATTTGAAATGTGGGATGCATAGAGGCACTTCGCAATCGCTATCACTATCATCGCTATCGGATCTTCTTTCTCTAGTTCGTCTTCTTTTTAGCGACATAATTTTGTCTGCACTACAATCAGAAAAACTGCTTTCAGATTCCAGAATCCTATCCATTTCTATTTTAAGGTTATGAATAAGTTTAGCGACTAACAAATTTCAGTATGCGCGCAGCACCGGCGATAGCGATCGCAGAGATAACAAAGAGAAGCAAAATAACAAATCATCGTTGCATCCAAGCGGTGTAACAGTTATCGGTATCGGTGCTTGTCTCTGTGATCTTATACTGTTAGGGAGTGTGTTATTTTATTAATTAAATATTTGGATTCGATACCGAACGCAGTCGCGTATATATACGCTCCGGCGATAGCGACCAGGAAAATTGAGCGTATATATACGCTTGTGATGCAAATGGGGTTAACCGTGCTTCCAGTCGACGTTCTCCAGCAAAACGGAGAAAAACAACAGCAGAAACGGACACCAGAAGGACGCTAGATAAACAACGCAGAAATTTCATATTGCCGTAATAAAAATTCTAGTGCGGAGCGAGTCGCGGCCGGCCAACTTGCGCCGCAAACGTCACGATCCGTCGTCCCTCGGCGGCCACGCTAACTCATACACCAACTATCCCGCAGTTTACTGAAACGGGGATGTGGCAACGTAACGCCGGCGAACGCGAGTTTGCCGAGCTTGATTTATTTTCACGCAGCGACTTGCTCTCGGCCGCCGGAAACTTCGCCCGGCAGCGCAACCAGACGAGCCAACCCCTTCGTCGAGGTCCCGCGTTATTTTGACGGGTGCGCGATCGGTTGCCGTAACGCGACAGACTGCTTCGGCGAACGAACACCCTTTCGACAGTCTCGTCACGTCCGGATCGCTCTGACAAATGCCGGGGCGTGCTTCTTCTAAAAGGAACGTTCTCCTGTTCAAACTTACGGGAAAATTTCCATCGATCCGCACCGGGGTTGCAACGATTTTCGCTAGCTTGAAATGCGGCGTCGGATCAGCACAGTAAATTCTCTCCAATTGTTTCTTGCTTGTAAACAAAAATGGACAATTTGGGACGCGGAGATTGTGCATTACTGCACAAACTGGAATACTAATAATTAGAAATAGTCGTTTCTTCTTTTTATTTCGAACAAAATGTTCCCGGATCTGGCTCGAACCCGACTCGAACGCGAAATCAGATTAAAATACAAAGAAACGTTCTTCGAAATACAGTGAATTCTCTGCAATTGTCCCTCGGCTTCTAAACAAAAATTGACAATTTGGGAAGAGGGGATTATTCGAGCCTCGCGGCTCGCTTTTGTGATCGTGCGG